GACGACGAATAATAATAATAATAATATAATTTCTCAACCTTACAATTATTATTATTAATATTATCATTAAATTATTTTTTTTTATTCGAGAATAAACGAACGCCTCACAGATTATTAAAATATAAAATCCATCATGACGTGGACGATGATGATAAGCGTAAGAGGAGGCCAATGACCCCTCTTATCATCATCATCAACTCCCGATTGTAAACAATTGAAAGACTTTAAAAAAAAAAAAAAAAAAAAAAAAAAAAAAAATCCCCCATGAAGGTTAGTTTTTCACGATATCACAATCAAAAAAAAAAAAAAAAAATTTGTAAAAGGCAAAAAAAATCCATCACACTTCGTCTCTCTCTCTCTCTCTCTTTTTATCTAATTACTATTACTATTATTATTATTATTACTACTTTTTTTTTTGTTTTAATCAGTCTTTTACCAATTTTTTTTTTTTTTTTTGCCCAATACAATCAATCGTCGTCACCAAACGAGATGAAATTTTTTTTTTTTTTTTTGTACAAATTGCAAAGAAAAACCGAACCGACATGGGAATGCAATTAAAAAAGAAAAAAAAATTGCAATTTATTTATATAAAGTAATGAAAATGACAAATCATCACAACCCACAAATTAAAAAAAAACAATTTTTTTCAACCACATTCTTCCATCTTTCTCTCTCTCTCTTCCTTCCACATCATTTCAACTAATATTAATTACTATTATTATCATCATCATCGTTATTTTTACTTTTTCTTTTATTTCCACCGCGAGTAAAAAAATAATTTATACACAAATACCTATAATACAATGATACATGCTTCTTTTTTTTTTTTTTTTTTTTTTCAATTAAATGGCCTTTTACAAGAACATTCAACAATGAGCAAACTTGACACAAAAACAACATTCTTCATTCCTTTCTCATATTAAAAAAACCTGTTTTACGACGCTATATAAACTTCCTTCTTTCTACAAGAATAATACCTGAACCTGACACTGACTTCTCTCATCATTCAAAACATCAACTCTCCACGTGCACGCATACAATCAATCAATCAATCAAAAAAAAAAATCTTTGAGAATCGTAGGGATACGACAAGAGGCAAGAGGGAAAATGTATTTTGCTGCAAACGTTTTCCGAATGGTAGCAGACGAAAACAAAAAGACAAAAAAAAGAAAATAAACGCCATTATTATCAACCCTCGGAAAAATTTAATGTATTCTGTTGATTTTCTTGTTCATCATACCACCGAGATCCGTGTTGTGATTAAAAGACAAATCGAGTTTCAACCTTCCCCTCGTGTGCCTCAATTCTCCCAAACCGCTCGGAGAAAGTGGACTCAACGAACCTTTTTCTTCCAATTTTCCATTCGATTCGTTCGAAGATTTTTCACCGCCGTCTACGAACCTTTTACTTTCGCTTTTTTTATTTGTCGCTTCGATCACATCGGGAGCGAAATTAAATTTTAAATTGTCCAGTATGTTGACGGTTCCGTCTTTCGATTCCCCACCACCCTGGAGATTATTCATTTCCAAAAGTATGGGTTGACAATTCGTTTCCGGTTTTTTCTCGAGCGGACTCGCGCTTTCGGAATCTTCTAAACCGGAGTCGGGAGTCGTGAAATCCCTCGAATCCGTCACGTCGCTCTCGATCGATTCGTTTTTGTCGGATGATTTTTGCGACGACTCGTCCACGTTCCCGAGACTATCGAACGTTATTATTTGATCTCCCGTTATGAAAAATTGATTATTCGAACTTCCCTGAAACGGACGAGATGACGAACTCACGGAAAAATTGTTTTGATTTCCAAGATTACCTGGAAAAACCGGAATTTTTTTTTTTCAAAAAGCGTTCATCATCATCATTATTCTCTGACATTCAACTCATCCGTTCTTCTTTACTTACTTCCGCCGTTGAAATCGTAATCGAAAGAATTTAAATTGTAAAAATTAAAATTTGATTCTTTCGCATTATTATTATTTCCGTTTCCTTTACTAAAACCCGTATCCGAATCCGTGTCCGTCAAACTGAGATCCCCGTCGTCTCCATCCGACAAATCCCATTTATTATAATTGGGCAAATTAATCACGTTCGACGTGATGACGTATGGGAAATGTTTGTTACATAAATCGACAGAATTGACGCCGAACGTAAAATGTTTGTTCGAAGGATCCGCTGAATTTTGATCGTAATTATATTGATTGTAAGTTTCCGGTTCCTCCGTGTCGCTCGGTTCCCGTGGATATTCGTATACGCAATGATATTTTTGCTTTTTGAACCAAACATTTTTCTTTTGCTCACGTTGATCGTCCTGAAGAAAATTTTTTTTTTTTTTATCACATAAATTACCTGTCATAATTTTTTTTTCTTCTTTTATTTATAAAATAAATTTTGCTAACCGATTTATAATTATCTGAATTTTTCAAAACCGGACGTCCGGGCAAAGCCTGGCTATTCCACGCCGAAGGTATAAAATCAGTCACGCTAGCTGAACTTCCGGTCGATGATTCGCTATCACCGTCATCATCGTCGTCCACCCCCTCTTCTTTACCCTTTTCATCTTTTTCTTCGCAACCGCTAATCATCGCCACGTTTTGTTCTTTACCGGTGGGTACATTTTCCTCCGTTTTCGCAACGACGTTGTTATGAGATTCTTGGAAAAGCTACAAAAAAAAAAAAAAAAAAATTAAAATTTACTTCGACGGAACAATTTTTACAAATATTTACGAGACAAAACAAAAACGGCAAAAGCCATGAAAAAGTTTTTTTTTTTTTTTTTTTTTTTTTTTATTTAGCTCCAATCGACTTACTGTATTTTCAATATTGGAATCGCATATTTGCATCGCTTTTAGTTTTGAAACTTTATCTCCATCCTTTATTTTTTATAAAAATTACACACACACACCATAGCAGAAGATAGCAGACAGCGAACCATGTAATAAAGATAGATAATCGATTTACTAATAAAAACTTTTTTTTAGAGCTTTAAATAAAAAATGATTAAGAAGTAGAAGTAAAAAAAAAAAAAAAAAAAATGGCGCTCCTCTTAAGCAAATCTATAGAAAATTTTGTTAATTCATTGGATTTTTACCATTTGTTAAAAAGATAATTAAGCGTTAAGAAAAAAAAAAAAAACCCAAAGCAGAAGAAGAAAAACCCCAAACATATAAATTTCAAGAAGAAGAAATTTTTGTTTAAAAAAAAAAAAAAAAAAAAAAAAAAAATTTTCAACTGACCTTCCATATAAATTCTCCACTGGATGAAGAAGTTTCTTCATCTTCCTCCATTTCATCTTCTTCTTCATCTTCTTCTTCGGCAACCAGGCTATCGCTATCCCAATCTTCATCAAAACTTTCTTTGACTATCGATTTGCTTTTATCATTAACGGTGTCCTTTTTTTCGTTCGACCTTTTCAATTCCTCGCTATCGTTTTCTTCGTTATCATCCTCACCCATGAAAGAAGTTGACATTTCGTACTGGTCATTTGTTTCTAAAGTTTCGATCGCATCACTTTCCAAATCTATTTCGTTCGTTTTCAGGTTTAAAAGTTTTTCAGGTTTTTCAGAGTACTCCGTTATATTTTTCTGTTCGTTGAGTAAAAAAAGTTGATTTTGAGTTATTAAATCGTGCGTGACATCATCCTCATCAGTAACGGTTATTTTACTTCGCATTTCATCGTTTTTTAAATCTTCCGTTGCTTCACTTCCTTCGGGATTGTGTACGGTCGTAGAAAAGCAATCGGGTACTAAATCGGGAGATGATAAAGTAATTTCGGAAAGAGCATCTCCCGTTCGCGTTTCATTAGAACTTTTGGAAATTTCGCTTAAACTTCTTTCCCTATCGGGACTTGACATCTCCGGAGAAAAAATTAAACCTTCATCGTTAAAATTAACATCCACTTCCATTTCCATACCATCACCATCATTCATTTTATCATCATCATCCAAAAACAACGCTTCCTGTTCCGGTTTTATTTTATTTTCTGCTTTGGTATTGACATCGACCATTAATAAATCATCATTAAAATTTATATTTTGATTGTTTCTTTTTTTGCACGAGTTGGTATCATTCTGCCCTAAAAAAAAACTTTCCTTTTTCACCGTCGTTTCCTTTAAATTATCTTCTCCGATGGCGATATCCGAATTTTCATTTGATGCATTACAATTTTCATCATTATCTTCAATGATTTTCTTTTGCGGTTCTTCCGTATCGCAATTTTCGCTAGCGATTTGATCGAGCTCATCCAAACCTTTCCCTTCATTTTCAACCATGTAATCGAGGTATTGCATAAAAGTATTCGTATCGATTGATTTGACCGATTCCATTAGGTTAACAACATTTTTCCTTAATTTACTGCTGGAATTATTATTTCCTTCGAAAAAACAATTTTTATTACCTTTTTTTTCACTATCGCTAATCGACGGATCGTGTTCCTCTATAATGGGACTTAGAGGACCGGAAAAATCACTCGGATAAATATTCAAAACTCTTTTCAAATCTTCTGCGGAAAAATCATTATTGTAATCATCGTTGAAATCGTGAAAACTCCTCGTTTGAACCGGAAGATTTTCTCGAAGTTCATTCCTTATAGCGTTTGCAATGTCTTCATTCATGCTCCTGTTAAAAGTCATACCGTTTTCATCGGGGGGATGTAAATACCATCCTTGGGAACAAGTCGGATTAAATTCAGATATTTCAGGATAATAATCCGAACCATCTTTATTTTGCCAAAATTCTATTTCTCCATCAATATCACTAAATTCATCGTCATTTTTATTTTCATCCTCGTAAAATTTTGATTCTTCATATTCGAATATATTTTGATTTCCTGAGTCTTTAACGATATTTTTCTCTTTTTCCTCCTCCACCGCCACCACCTCCTCCTCTTCTTCTTCTTCGCAATTTTCAAAAGCTCCTTTTACGTATGCTTCTTCCAATTCGGCTTCTATATCTTCCAAGTTGTATTTGCCCTCGCAAGCATCTTCGACGCTTTCACTCAGGCTTCCTTTATCCCTGAAACCTGAATCACTGCTTCTTTCATCATCGGGAGTCCTTAATTTAAAATTATCGTATTCTTCTTCGTTTACCAAACCAGTAAGACTCGATAATTTATGCATATCGTAAGCGTCAGACATGTTGTCGGTGTGAACTTTCTCCGACTTTATAAAATCTGTTATTATTTCAACAGGGCAAACCACAAGGGTTTCAATGTTTGAACAATTTTGTAAATCGTTCTTATTGTTTTCAAGAAGACAGTCCGATTCTGCTACGTTGTAATTGAAACTTCCAAAACTTATATCTGCAAAATCCTGATTTCTCACTTGTTCGTTTAATGTCTTCTCAAGGTGTTTATCCCAATCGAAATGATCACCATTTTTTTCATGATCGCAATCAGTCACGTTGACAAAATCTTTGCCGTTATCAATGGAATAGTTTTTTTGGAAGTTAACATCTTCGGATGTAGTTGTTAAACCCTTGAAAAATTCTAAAGTATAATCTTCGCATGCGCCAACTATTACTGAATCTTCTTGATTATTATTATTATTATTATTATTATTATTTTTTCTATTTATATTTTCGATTAGAGAATCAACATTATCGGATGAATCATCAATCTTTCCATCCCCCTCTTTTAAGTTTTTTGGAACATGTTCTAAAAAATTATTTTCCTTTAAGGTATTTTCACTGTTGTTTTCCTCATATTCATCTTTTAAAACAAATTTTCGAGGTTTCGGAACTTTGTCATTAAAATTAAAATTGAAAGGTTCTTCTTCTTCTTCTTCTTTCTGTTCATCATCAGGTTCTAAATTGTCTGATTCTTCTGAAATTAGAATATTTGGGATTTCAGAGTTTTTCATAACGAATTTAAAAGGCCTTAATACCGTAGGTGGAAAATCAAATGTTTCCTCGAAATCCTCATCATCTTGTTTTTTTGCTTCGCTAACAGTGATTTCAGGGATATTTAAACTATTTTTACATTTTGTCGGTTCGCTATTGGCTTCTAAAATATCAGTAATAAAATTTTTTGAATCATCAATTAAATCGTTCGCAGTTTCCGACGTGCTTTTCACTTTGTCCGATTTATTATCATTTTCTGACATTGAAAAAATAATATCGGAACAATTTTCCGAACGTTCCGATTCATTATTTAAAAAATCATTCTTTGATGTTTTTTCAATATTATTATTTTCCGGATGTGAATCTATTACGTCATTTACAGGTTTTTCAATTGTGTTTTCCGCTATTAAATGACTAGACTTTATTGTTGTTTCATTGCAATTGTTTATTTTATTTTCATCATCATCATCATTATCATCATCATCACATTTTGAACTCGTTTCTTTTTGTGCTTCATTTAAATCTTTATGACAAAGAGATTCGAGGTCTCCTTCAATCACCGTAGTGCAAAATTCATTTTTTTCGATATTTTTTAAATTTGAATTTCCTCCATTTCCTATTTCAAAATCACCATTTTCTAAAAAATTACTCCCGACTTTTTTTTTTTTTACTTGAAATTCGTTATCATCATCATCACCGACATTTTCTGATTTCAATTCTTCCACTTCCACACTTTTATTTAAATCCGTTTGTGTTGGATTTTTAGAATCTGAAATTTCCGAAACGTCATTGCATTTAAGTAAATTTTCCCAAGCATTTTCCCGTCCTGCAAACGTTGGCATTATCATGCCCAAACTATCGAATCGGCCAAATTCCTTATGATCGTTTGATAATTTTTTCAACGATTCCTTAAATTCATCTTCTAAAACAGCGTTCGATATATCATTTTCAGATCCGAATATATTTGATGACAAAGAGGATTTAGCGAACGAACCACTTTTTCTAGAAAATGAATTTCTATTCCAATTTCTTTCCATATCATTATCACTTTCATCGCTCACATCTATGTGAGTTAAAATCATTAAATTCGCAATGCTTTTGGATTTTTCTTTAACCTTTTCCGATATTTCTCCACGTTCGATCCGCTTCCTCCAAACTTCATCATCAGTGTCGGAACTATTACGAGATTGCGCTCCAGTTAATGAATCATTTTCTTTTAAACTTTCATCAAAACCATAATTTTTCATATCAAATTTATTTTTATTGTCTTGTAAAGCGGAAACGAAGTCATTTCCTTTGACCGAATTTTCTTCGAATCCCTTTTTATTATCGTCATTTATGTAGGGATCGGCAAAATTTAAACTTTGCGGCTGTTCCGAGTTTTGTAAGGAATTTAATTCAAACGATTTTTGAGTGAAATTTTTAAACGACGAAACATCGCTTCCCAATTTAAAATCGACTACAATTTCATTATTATCTTTCACGTCTTTCTCCGGACTGTTTTGATGACTCGACTTTCCGCTACCCTCTTCGCTTGATGATGTTTTTTCCATCGCCAAAGCTGCATCCAAATCTCTGATTGCTTCCGATATTTTCTGCAAAAAACTTTCATCTTCTTCATTATTAACTTCGACTCCTCTTAACCACGAATCAACATCATTCTCCGAACTTTTAAATTTATTGTTAGGATTCAGTGCGTCAGGTACAGAAGTCTCGGTGTTCAATTGGAATTCCGTCTTTTTTCCAGATTCACCAGCACCTTGTTCAATATTTAAATTATTATTATCTTTGCTATTCCTTTCCTCGTCAGATGTATGAACGTCAGCATATTCTTCGGTATTATTCGATTTTAAACAAAATCGCGGGGACTCCTGAGCAGAATTTTTACTAGACATAAAATATCCTAAAGGTGATTCTACCAATGAAGAATCAACAACTTTAGAATTTTTTATTTTTGTCGATATAACATTACAACCGGCAGTGTAATCGTGTTCCACATTATCATCTTTTTTGGGTATGTAATTAGGACGTAAATTTTGCCATCTTTGCTCAAAATCTTGAGAAAGTCTTTTCGAATCTATTTTTCTACTTGAAATTAAATTTTCGAGAATAATTAATAACTGAGATGCTGTGGGTCTTTGTAACGGTGGGTTCCAACAGAGTTTCATCAAATGGTACCTGAAATTATAGTTTAGAAACTTGAAATTTTTTAAACAAGAGAACAAATAATTTCGAAACTAATAATTAAAACCAACTTACAATTCGTCTTTATGTAGACAAAACATATTGGGTTTTTCCAAAAAATAGTTTTTATCGCCTAAAACTCGTGTGATTACTTGATCGTCATTTAATTCGGAGTAGGGCAACTTACAAAACTCGCAAATTTCCCAGAAAACAATGGCCAGAGACCATATATTTGCGGGAGGAGTTACTTCCCGCGTTTCAATTGTCACATCGGTACATTTTAACGTTTCCGGTGCGCACCATCGTATTGGAAGTGCAACGGAGCCAGCGCAGTAATAATCGGATTTAAAATTTTCAATAGAATTTCCATAATCGCCTATTTTTATTGTTAAATCTGGTCCAACCAAGCAATTCCGAGCAGCCAAATCGGTGTGAATAAATTTATTTTTGTGCATGTACTGTAAACCAGAAGCTATGTTTGAACACATTTGTAACGTTACACCTTGTTCAGACAAAGCTCTCGCACTAGCCAAGTTTTGTGATAAAAAGGTTTTTAAGTCACCCTGAAAAAAAAAATTTATTACAGCCCTTAGAAATTATATAAAAATTAATGCACCAAATATTAAAAAAAAAAAAAAACCAAATCGTACATTAGGGTAGCATTCAAGAATAACGAGAAACGGTTCGGTTTCCAAACAACGTCCTAACAAACGAAGAATGTTGGGATGATTCAAATCTTTATAAAATTTAACTTCGTGCAAGAAATACATTTGATCCGTTGGCGTGGCATCTTCGTGCAACATTTTAACCATTACTTTTGTTACTTTTTCTTTCGGTATAATATTTTGAGCTTCTCCCTTAACCACTTTTCCGAACCATCCTCGACCGTATTCTTCGACGTATTTTAACTGATTTCTAGGAAAATTACTGCAAGGTTCGGCTGAAAAAAATTCGAAAGGGAAAAATATTTTTTTTATAATCTCACGTATTGGAAAATATCAACGTAATAAAAATTTTTTTGAAAATATCAACTTACAAAACCAATCTTGAGATGATATATCTCGTTCGCTGTAGCTGAATGCAGCCGGTCGCAAATTCGGAATTTGCGGTTTAATATCTGGTAAAGGTTCGAATCGACATATTTGACCGGAATTAACTCCCGGTGGGGGAAAAATGGTAAGTTCGGCATTTGACGTTGGATTTACAAAACCTTCCGATCGTACATTTGTAGACAAACTCGAACTACTATTACTGAATTCCTATTGAATAAAAATTACGTAATCAATGATTTATTTAAAAAATATTTTTTGTAATGCGTCATTTATAAAAAAATTGAAGCATTAGAGAGTGACAAAAACTATTAACAAAATCTATAACGTTTAAAAAAATTTTTTTTTTTTTTTTTTTTTTTTGTACAATTAAACGAGTGTAAGTGCAGAGGGGAGCAAGCAGGCAGGCAGGCATTACGTATTAAACAAATTTTGAATCGAAGTAAAAAAAAAAAAAAAAAAAAAATTACAAAACAACTTACCCAATTTTTTTTTTTTTTTGTGTAATAAAGTTTTAAATTTTTACGACTACCGACTGGTTTTTTTTAAATATAATAATAATAACGGCATTCATATACAGAAAAATGCAGTTATGCAATTTACATAAAAGCCACAAGGGTTTTAAAATGTTTTTAAAAATTTTACGTTAGGCAATTTAGAAATTCAATATTGTAAACATGATAAACATGATTTCAAATGAAGAAAATTAATTTTGTTTTAAAATTTAATTTTAATTTTTCAAAAGTATTTTTTTTTCTTGTCTAATTAAACAAAAGAATTATTTTATTTCACTTTTAGAGAGAAATTGTGCCACCGAAAAAAATTTCAATTTAAAACAAGTTTAATAATTTATGTGAAAATATTTTTTGGATAAAAAAAAAAAAAAAAAAAAAAACAAATCACATTGTAATAATTGATTTAAAGTATTTCTTTTTTTTTTTTTTTTTTTCCAAACTTAAATTATTGCTTTTAACACACTTAAAAAAGCCTGCTAAGCTTATTTAATAATAAAAAAAAAATTTTTATCAAGTTGTTAAAAGTAGTCGAGTAATGATAAATTTTAATTAACTAAAGTTTTATTCTGAATTTTATTCAATTGAAAAAACTTTTTTTTTTTTTTTTTTTTTCTCTTCGCTTTTATTATTGAATGATGAATATGACTTATAGATTTTTTTTTCTTTTCTTTTCTTTTTATTTCAAGTGTTATTTTTAAATTATTCTTTTTAAAACAGAACCTTTAACTACATCGAATACTACACATTTCCTACTCTAACATTTAAATAATTTCTTACTGTAAATTCTTACCTGAATGACTCTAGATTCATTTTGCTTTTAAAAAAAAAAAAAAATTTTTTTAATTTTTATTAGAAATCGGTATATATTTAAAATCTGTTTGAAAAATGTTTTTCAAAAACCACAAATGTTAGGTATTCGAGGTCTTGTCAAGAATTCATCAAGGATAAAAATCATTTTTTCATTTATATAGAAACTTTAAAGAAACATTTTTATCGATAAAAATTATTTAAAAAATAAACAAACCTTAAAGCCTCTGCCATTTCTACAGCAAACACATCCTAGTATGATTCCGACAAGAGCCAAAAGGAATCCAAACACGGTAAGAAAATAATTCGTTAGCCATAACTGACTAGGCCCTCCTAAAAATAAATTATAGTATGGTAGTAATTATTTTAAATTAATGTAATTGAAATCTGATTGATTTTAAAATCAGAAATTAAAATTATTCTTAAAACATAAAGTTACTTAAAAATTTATAGGGAATTATTCGAGATTCAAATAAATGAATAAAGTTATTACAAAAAAAAAAATACATATTTTTTCAAACAATATAATTTTATAAAAATAAAAAATACATGTTTACAAAAATACCAAGGCCAATAATAAAAATAATTACACCAAGTTAAATATGGAATATTCTGACATTGTTACTTTCATAGGTACAATGAAAAAAAGAATGAGTCATATAATAGAACCTACCTGTACCTACGGAAGAAAAGTCAATTGGAAAACCTCTAACAACGTCGAATATTATAAATCCAACGCAAAATACAGAGAGAAGAGGTTTTTCCATAATATTCTTTTTCTTTACATTGTAAACATCTAAGCAGACACAAGGCGGAAATAACTATTTTTTTTTTTTTTTTTAATAAAATGGGGCGATCCAATAAATAACTTTTAAATACACTTTTTTTTTTTTTTTAAATTTTAAAATTAACTTAAAATATAAATAATAATATCAAACTTATGAGTAAAAACTTAACTAAAACCAAATAAATAAGAATTAAAAAATTTAATAAATACTACGAAATTGATGATGACTAAATTAACTGACAAGTAGAAGCCATTTTGAAAAAGCAGTAGAAACCACTCACTTCATCAAACTCAATAGTAATAATGATCCTAATTCTATGTTGGCAATACTGAAAGCGAAATATTTTTAATTTAAAAATTCCAAGTAGTTTTCAAACGTTGAGTTTATTATTTAATTAACTAAAAATCTTTTTTATAACGATATTTTTCTATCGTTTGCCTAATAAAAAAAAAAAATTATTTCATTTTTAAAACAAGATTTTAATATATCGAGCAATATATCAACAAACTTTAATAATAAAACAAAAAATTCGTAAATTATAAATAATTCTCTAAAAAATTTTTTTTTTTTTTTAATTTAAGTTGGCATAACGTAATTTAATAAAATAATAAATGGCGTGCGTGCGCGGGAATTTTATGTTATCGTTACATATTATCGTAAAATGGATTTTTTTTTTGTTTTTGTTAAATAATAAATACGTTAAAAATAATAATATATGAAAAATATGGGTAAATATAATTCCATATTATTTAAAAAACTTTCTTTTAATTCGCTGAATTTATAACTAAAAATACTCATACCTTTAGTAAGTTTTAATTATTATGTTTATTTTCTATAACATAATGAAAGTAATATAAAATTACATTTGCTAATAGTTTTTAATTTAAAGAATAATGAGTAATTTAATCAAATTCAGTGAATTATAAATCTTTTTCTAAAAGTATAATTAACGGTATTTGAAAATATAACGATAAAAACATTCATTCAATTAGTAGAAAATAAATAGGCTTCTTTTCTTACAAAATTTTTTTTTTAATTATTTACTTATTTGTTTAAAAAAAAAATTACATTTTTTTTTATTCATTGTACTTTATTTAAATTGATTTTAAAATAAAAAAAAAAAAAAAATAAGAAAAGGAATAAATTTTAAATGACGATTAGCGCGGACGCAACATACTGAGCAGAATCCAAAAGTTCAATTTCTAACAATAAGACAGAATGACGGTGGTAGTTGGTTAAAAAAGCATGAATCTCATCTTAATAATATTTTTTTTATTTTATTCACGTATAATATTTCTAACGGATTTTTATCGCGTATTAAAATTTATTTTCAAATATATTTAAATAAAAAAAAAAAAATTTTTTTAATATAAAACAACTATAATAAGTGAGTGAGTGCCTTAAATAATAATAAAAAAAAAAAAACATTTTAAAAAATGATATAAAAAAATAAAAAAAATAAATAATTTTTTTTTTCAAATTTAATAAGTGTAGGTATATATGATAACTATATAATTTATTTAAATAAATTATTATTATTATTATTATTATTATTATTATTTTAATTAATTTTAAATGATTCAATATGAATATATTATTTACTCAGGTTATTGAAAAGATTTCTCATTGAATTATTTTATAGTTTAAATAAAAGTTTTATTTGTTTTATTATGATTGATTATTATTATTATTATTATTATTATTATTATTAAAAAGTTTTTTTTTGTGTGTGACTATAAAACATAATTAAAATTAAATAAAAATTTATAATATACTTTTGTCAAAGTTCTTGACACAATTATTTCAATAAAAACAATGAAACTTTTGTATATTATTAATTAATGTAACATAATATTAAATTTTAAATGTTTAATACTTTTGTATTAATCAATCAACATAAATCAATTTTCCAATATTTAATAATAATAATGATAATAATAGTAATAATTTTTGTGATGATAAAATCAAAATTTATTATTTAAATAAAAAAAAAAAAAAAAAAAACATTTTCATTTTTTTAGTTAACTATCATAAATGTAATTATATTAAATGGCAGGTGATAATATTATTATTATTATTATTATTATTATTATTATTATTATTATTATTATTATTATTATTAAATTTTTATTTTCATTTTATTATATATATATATATATAAAAATTTCATCATGACAATAATAATGATATTTAATTTGACAGTGAAATAACATCATTAACCCATACAGAATATGAATGAATAATAATATGAATATATAATAATTTCATTATTATTATTATTCATTTTTTGTATATTTATTATTATTATTATTATTATTATTAATTTAAAAAAAGCAAAAAAAAAAAAA